TGATTTGATTTTTATTCAACCAAAAAGCTTTTTAGGACGCAAAAGGATAACGATAGATCTAAAAATAATATCGATATTCCTGATTTTGATTGTGATTGCCTATATCGGAATTAGTGTAAGCTTCTTTTTCTTGATGATTTCCTGTGTATGTTACATTTGAAGTTGATTGATTTACGTAATCAACTGTTTTTCAGTTAGTAATGACAGTCAGATTTCATACTTTATATATGCACATTGCAAAAACACAAAAAAATAATAGTTATTATAAAGTTGAAATTTCTTATTATCATATATACGACAGACGAGATAACAACTTATATTAAGAAAATAAGAATTCAGTCCATAAATTGACTCAGGGAAGGATATGTGCAGGAAAAACAATCATTAATACATTATTTATAAGTTACGTGTGCTTCATATTAACCAAGTTTTAGAATGCCAGTCACCATTAATTTAAATAATATGTAACTTGCAAAAAATTTTTAAGATACCGTATCTTATCCAACTTTAAGCCTATTATCGTTTCCAAAGTTCACGTTATATCTCTTATTTACTTAATACAGTAATGACAGAGATACACAGTAATCCATCTAAAAAGATACAGTTCCATAATAATAGCAAATTAGATCAAAAAATGTGCAAAGAAATCTGAAATTGGCAAATGATTAGTTTGCAATATTGTGTGCTTGACTACTGGGTTTGTCAACTGTAAGTATAGCTAAATACACTGACAAAATCATCGCTATTACAAATGAATTAGTTCATCACTTTGATATCCTTGAAAATATATTTTTATTTGTTATTTTGTTGAGCATTTTGTTATACAGTCAACTGTAAAAGTATCCACCCCTCCCTAACTTTCCGTAATGCACCAAGCACAAAGAACAATGCAATGCAAATACTGATCATTTGCGTTTTTTATAGGTTGATAGACTTTTGCACACAAATAATTTCGCTCCCAATTTACCAACGATACAAATAATTTTTTTATACACACATACCAAAGGTCTGAAGCTTGAACTTGAAAATATAGCTAAATATATTCACTGTAATAAGTCCATAGCGAACAAAACAAAAGATCTAAGTGATCAACCGAATCCAGCAGAAATCGATCCACAACTCCAAAGCAAGTTGAAAAGATTGTAGAGCTTGTACAGAAGCAAACCAACGCAACTGTTACTGACATATAATGGGAAAAATGAAATTTTAATGTTAGTGTGGACACTATTCAATGACATTTACATGAAACTAAAGACAAATATATGACGAAACTTTCTAAACCTCTACTTACTAATATTCACAAAGAAAAATGGTAACAATGAGCCAAAAAAATATAAAAACTTTAACAGGAGTAAGTTATATTTTCAGATGAAAGCACATTTCGTCTAATCAATCACTATTTAAGGTCTAGCAGTTTCCTGATGAAGAAAAATATTTCAGTCTGTAAAGCACCCATTAAAAATTAATGTGTGTGGTTGTTTTTCTGCTTTGGGCTTTGGCAAGTTAGTCTCCTTCCAGCAGAATCTCAATCCTGAATTTATGGTTATGGTATACAAATGTGGTCTTTTCCTGTCTGTCGAGCAACTTTTTGAGAATGATTTTGAAGGGCGGATTTTGCAAGAAGATAACGACCCAAACATTGTTCGAAATTAGTGAGTCGTTGGAAGAAGGAAAACAACATCGAAATTTTTCCATGGCCGTCAATGCATCTAACAAAAATCAGATTAAATGTTTGGAGGTTGATGGAGATTAATATAGCAAAAAATTAGAACACTTAATGGATTAAAGGTGCAATTAATAACAGAATGGAATCGCTTACCTGACGATCTTTATGCAAATCTTGTTCATAGTATGAGAAATCCGGTTGAGGCGTTGATGGAAGTTGGCGGAGACTATACAATGTATTAATGATCAAGATATATTTAGAACATTCTAATAAAAAAAAGTTTTATCTTTACCTTTCGCTGAGTTATGGGGTCGGTTACTTTTGCGGAGCACTGTAAATATATGCTCTTACAACAACAACATATGAATGAAATCACAGTAGGTTGAATTGGGGACAGAGATACAGTTCATATGAATGAAATTTATCATATTACGCTTACAACTTTTTTGTTCAAGTATGTGGATCCATCATCTCTTTCATTTCCCGATCACTAACCGAAAGGAATTTTGACTTTGAGTAACCTCGAGATTGAGCGGTATTCATTATTGTAGATGTCTTTATAATAATGAAAAACATTATTTGTTATACTTTTAACTTCTTTCTGTTCGATATTTATTGAATGTCCAATGTTACATAGTAGAATTATTCTACTTCTAGCCCTAGCTAGAAGTAGCATCAAGGTTATACATATTAAAGTCTGCTGTAAACAAAGGGCCAGTTGAACGAAACTTATATAATTGAAAATACTAAAACCGGAGCATTATAAAAACACTCAACTTAACGAAGTGATATCTATATAACGAAGTTTATTCTCCGGAACGATGCAAAGTGGACTTTACTGTGTAACACTGAATTGAAGTATAAGAACACGGTTACCGTAACCTACCAAAATTAAGCTCCCCTTTTTGAGCTCTAAAGAACGGTGGTGTTTCTTATTTCCGGACATTTCCTCTTAATTCGAAATTAAAGCGATTTTGTATATTGTATATGTAATTTGAATTTATATAATTTATTCATGATTTTACTATCGCTATTGCTGTTAAATACGGGGTAATCGATTAAATACGATATGGTGCAAGAACTCTTGTTCATGTCAACATCTTAACTAAGAAGTAAATACAAAATTAACTGGTAATATTATCAAGAATTTTCTTTTCTATAATATTACTGATTTTGGATTTAAGAAGTTGAACATGAAACATATCAATATTGTCGATTTAAGAGTTCCTGCACCACGTAAGAACGTAACGGATTTAAATTTTAAGGTTACTTTTTCGGTCCCCACTACTATTAAATCTACTGTACATCAAAATGATGCATATGATGCATTAAAAGAAAACCTTCTCGTTCTATTATTTCACACAGGGTTACAGCATAAACTGTATTGCATTGTACATGTACATGCAGTTAGATAACGATAAAACTTTAATAACATTAAGATAACTATCGCTATACATGTACATGTATTCCGAACCCATACCTAACCCTTTTCCAATACAGTACAGTACAATGAATGAAATAGTACAGAACAGAATACGTACGTAGTAGTTTCCTCTTTCACACACATAAATAGAAGCATAAAAAGATAGTACAAAGATCAAGAAAATGCATAACATGAACATTATATGTACAGTACAGTATATCAATATATGAGAGTCGGAATAACAAAACGTTTAGATAACGGAAGATTTAGAATTCTTCGGCCAACAATAATCTCATCTCCGTTTACCCTACCCTTTAGCTCTAGTTATAATCTGGATCAATTATACATGTATTGTATTTTTATATATACATAACGATAATAAGACGTAGTAAATTCAATACAATTAACTTTTACTGGCATAATGTCCTACTCAAAGGCACTATCAAAATATTTTTTTCCAATTTTATTATAAATTGAATGAAATATAATAAAAAACTGGCCATCATTATTTTCACCGAAACTATAATTCATAAGATCTTGCAAATTTTTGGGAAGTAACACATTTCATTTTGGTTTCAACATCATTCAAAAAAGTTTCATTCTTATACTATAATCCTCACTTTGACAAAATATACAAAGAAACTTTGAAGAACACAAAAATCAAACTGCTTACAATTAGCTGCTGTTAAGCTGTCAACTAAAAGTGATAAATGTTCTGATAGTTTGTTTGGCTTTGCACTTGCAACTTGAAACATAATATCTTATGAATTATAAAATCATTTTTGTAAAAATTGCTATTATTAAGTTCATTAAACTAAATGGATTTAATAATAGTAATTTGAAAATAATATATTCATTTTAATATTAACTAAAAAAATTTAATTGATCAAGTAACTTTAGAATATAATATCTTATAATTTAAAAATTCAAATAAAGATATTTTTTTCTGGATTATTTTTTTATTTTAATCAAATTTTTATCAAATTTTAATCCAATTTTAATCCAAAAATTTTATAACTAAATTCGTGATTTTCTAGAACTAAAAAAAACTATATTTTTGTCTTATTATTTTTTAATAGAGCATATTGTTACAAGTTTATTTACTAATTGATAAATTAATTTACAAATTTGACAAAAATTGGAAAAGATTAAACAAGAAAAATAAAAAGATGGAGTATTTAAGTTTTATATTAATTTCTATTGTAATTGTTATAAAAACTAATTTTTGAAAAAAATAATTTGCTATAGTTCAAAGAAAAGATAAAATTATGAAAAAGTTATGGAAGAATAAAATGAAATAAAGGACAATAATAAATATATAATATTGTTTTGATTCTGTTGTACTGATTTTCATTCTGATTACATGTATATACTATTATTATTTTGATTTTCTGTACTAGTATCAAGTATTCCAAAGCTATGATAATACAATTAGTAATACAAAATAACAAAAATTCTTTTATTTTGTTTTTTTATGAGTAAAAATATTATACTGTAATTAAAAAATATCAATCAAACAAAATACCAAAATATCAAAATTTAAATAACTAATCAATAACAAAATACTTATTCAATTCAAAATCCTGACAATTCCAATAATAATATTTTGATAGACTCAATATAATCCAAAGTTACTTGTACACAAGCTTTAAAATATATAATTGAGAATGAAAGAGACAAAATATTAAGAGATAAATGATTTTTTATTTATTATATTATTTATTTCTCAAGTTTCAACATGTCAAGTCAAAGCTTAAAATTACTTCTACTTATATATTTTTTACAATTACAAATTTTAATATAATAACTATTTAATTATTAGAATATATAATTAAAAGAAATAAAAAGATAAAATAATTTAGTATAAAAATAAAATAACAAGATAAAAAGATAAATAATAAGGTAAAAAAGATGATTTTACGATTGGATTGGGAACATTATATTACAAATCTAGTTCCGATTCGCATGGATATTTCTTTGAAATGGTCCTATGGCCCTAATCTGATAGGTATTTTAATAACCCGTATTTTTATTTAAATTTCGAGTTAATTAGGATCCGAGGATATCGATATATAGTAAAAAAATCGGCACTCGAGTCTAGCCATACCGAAAATGTGCCAGATGATGATGAGTCCGATAATTCTGACGACGAACCCGATGATGTTGGTGGGGGATGACAACGACATTGAATGGATAGATGGATGGACGTATATGGCTCGCTATGGCATTCAGCGCAAGAGAACATAATTTGCTTATGGAAGTCTGAATCTAAATGATTACGATCATTAAGTAGACGCATTTATGAATCGCTTCCCCTCTCCGAACAGGTGAACTGTAATGCTACGCACGGATGAAGTCCGGCATTTTTTCGGCTACATGAGACATACATAATTTCGGGCACACATAAGACTTGCGGAACACGGTTAAAATCAAAATTTATGAGTCTCTGACTCTGGGTTCTGCCCATTATTTTTTTATTTCGCGATATCGTCTTTTTGGCACGGATGTGCCAGCTTACGCTGAAACCTACACTAACGATCTTGCTAATAATACATTGCTTCGCAGACACAAAGTATCTATATAGACTTGGAATATAGCGGGATTGCATGGAAGGAAAAACTGATGCATCATTTTAAGACACAACAGTTGGCAATCTGATCCAAATACTAAGTGTTGGATAAAAAAATCATAAACATACTATATACATATTTTTTATTTCCGATACACCCACACCACACATGCAGGTGAGATGCTAAATTTGAAGAATCCATGGAATGGATTTGCTTCGCAAGATCAAAAATTCGGCACTCTGCCATCGTATATTTGTTTAGAATATGCCTACAGAGGTATGATCGAATATGAGTTATGAGAAAACAGCGATACGAGTTTTTTTATACAATAACGCTTGGGAATTGTATGATCGCTTAAAGGGGTATGAAAACGGTTATGATCTTAAATTAGAGTTGAGTCGATTCAGGAATCTCGATATTCAAAAGAATAGATAGGGAACGTTTGATATTGTCGATAAAGGAGTCCATTCCATGTAGCAATAAATGCGAGTTGTACATGTACAACCTTCCCACGTTGATCCGATTACCTAAAATGGCTTTGTCTCGATTATGTATAAAGTGATAAAAGAAAAGTCATGAAACACACTGAACTCAGGATTCAACTTATTTGGGTGTTGTATCATCTGGAATTAATCGGTTGCGTTGCAATGTGGTAAGAACTACATAATCTATCGGGCCATGTTAATTTTGATATACGTAGTTGAGGCCATGAAAGTCCTAACTCGTATTATTATGTCCACAACTATTTCATCGAAAACAATATAAATTTTCCTCGCCTTTTCCGTTTTTCCAAAGCGTTGTTTCGGGTATCTCTTTGCTTAACTGTTTACGAACATCTGCAGTGACTAAAATATTAGCCGATGGATTTTACTATGAAGCTTAAACAGCTCCGATAAACATACTCCAAATACTTAATAAGATTGGATCACTCCTTGGCTCGAGCTATCTGGTTAGAATTCGGCATTAGTGATGTTATTATACAGAGGAATTAATGATCAGGCTTTTGTCATATCTATCTGCGATACTGGTGTCGGAACATGTGAATCATGCTGGAGCTCTTTGGCGTTGGATAACTCTTCGATGGGCTTTTTTACCGTAGTATATTCCCTTTTAGCTTTTTTCTCGTTCTTGCTGGAGGTGTCTTCCTTACGAGGTCTTTTACGAGGTTTATTTTTGATACGATTGTTTGGAGAGCTTTCGATCCATTTGGATTCTGTAAAGTGGTACCGATCAAAATATCTGAACTACGCCCAGCTGAGTTACGTTCATTATCCTCTTCATTTCTAGGTGGTAGTGGGAATGTAGATGACACGTAGTGCTGTTGTTCCGCAACTTCCTCTTCTGTGATTGATTTTAAATGATCGTTGGCTATTTCACTGTATTCTATACTCTCTTCATGCTACTTGCTTGTCGGGACAAAGTTTCTTATGGATTATTTTCTTGAGACGAATTGGACGAGAGTGGTTTTTTCGATTTCGACGGATTCAATGTCTTTGTTGCAACTAAATATAGGACATGTTGGCTTCGTTGACAAAAAGTATTTATCGATGTAAAGTCTAAGATGGATATGGCCACAATCTAACAGAGTAATGATTTTAGTGGGTCCTCCAAACTTTGTTTTTCGCAAACCATTAATAGTCATCAAAAATATAGATCAGTCCGAAATTTTAAATGACGATCTTCATGTCCCTGTAAAAAAAAATTTTCGAACATATCAGGCAAAAATCCAGTTTTTTGTATTGATCCGTTTTTTATCCAGAATATTTTCTGGATAAAAAATGGATCAATACAAAAAA